GACGGGATCTCATTCTGTCACCCAGGCTGGAGTGCAGTGGTGCGATCACAGCTCACCACAGCCTCGATTGTCCAGGTTCAAGTGATCCTTCCACCTCAGCCTCCAAGTAGTTGGGAGGTCACCACACCCAGCTAATTTTTTTTATTATTATTTGTAGAGTTGAGGTCTCACTGTGTTGCCTAGGCTGCTCTTGAACTCCTGGGCTCAAGAAATCCTCCTACTTTGGCCTCCCAAAGTGCTGAGATTGCAGGCATGAACCACTGCGCCTGGACTACCTTCGACTTTTAATACCATCTGTATGGGTTTTTTCCAAGTTTATATTCCTAAACAATAACCTGTTCCATTTTATTAGATAATGACAAACTGTCTTCCAAAGTGTTTCTACTAATACATATTCCCACCAGCAGTGTATGAGTTATGGCTGCTACATATTCTGCCTAACACTTGATACTGACAGTCTTTAACATTTTCCTCAATCTAACAGTTATGAAAAAGAACTTCCTTGTGGTTTTAGTTTTCATTTCCTGATCACTAATGTGATTGGACTATTTTTTCATGTTCATTGGCCATTTGTGTGTTACCTGTTTTGGAAAGTGCCGATTAAACCCTCTAATCATTGCAAATATTCAAATAATACAAGTGATACACTAATATAAACCATACGTATTACAGAAACACTAGTAGTTTTACAGGAAAATATTCAGTGCCATTCATAGCGTCACTGTTTACATGAAATCATTATTACCTGCTCTTTAATGTCTTGTAACTGTTGCTGCAACTTTTGCACATCTGCATTGACATTGGTATTATCCTTGTCCTTTTGTAACACCGGAATATTCCCACTTGCTGTAATGTAGATTTTAAAAGATTTTCAGTTATTATTGCTTTGACAGAATGACATTGTATTTATAAAATTATTACTGTTTTGTTTATTAAAAACATAAAACTATTATTACAATCCTCTTTAAAAAGTTTTCTCACTCTTGGACAACAGATACAGTAGTGACATTCTGTTACACTCTTCCATTTATGAACTCCAAAAAGAAATAGTTCGCACATTAATTTACAATTATATTTAATTCAGCCAGAGCACAATCCATACACAGACTTCTGGGTTTTCCAAGGCTCTACATGCTTCCTTTGGCAAGCTCACCAATACATTCTATGCTTGTTTCCTCTGTTCCTGTACCATATGAACCAATAAAGTAACCAGCAGAGTTCTGGCCAGCTTTGGCAGCAATAATTAAAATCTCTTAGATGATTTTTATGAGGACATACAAAAATCTAGTCTCCTTTCTTTATGACTAAACTTCCTTGTTATTACTGATTTGAGATGAGGAAGTCAAGAAAGGCCATCATTCACAGTACGCAAACATGAAGGGAAATCTTTGATTTCACTTTTCCTATTCTCTAGATCCTTGGTCTTTTATTCTAGTTAATCTGTCCCTGAGATTTTTATTCTGTTCTATTTGTGATAAAGACAAAAATCTCACGCAGAAGTTGCTACACACTAATGCTCTTCCTCATCTGCTCATAAAACATGTTCAGAGAATATGAAATCAAAGAAACCATTCAGCTAATATCTAGTGCAAAGAGAAAAAATACTTTGAAATAGCTGTACTACTGAAAATGTTGAGGGGAAATCATTTATTTTTCATTTTTCCACCCTTTCACTGTTAACATTTTTGTTTGCCTATAATTACTCTGCCCCAAATAATTACCATTCCATAAAAAACCTAAACGAAGTAAACAAACCTGTTGCATAATGGAAGCAGGTTAATACTTTCAGTAAACTGAAAAATAAATTGTAATATGGTGCCCCGCCCCTGGACAAAACACACTAAACTTCATCTTAAAATAGAGCACAAATTTTCCTTATGCAAGAACACAACAATATTCTTAATAGCATACATGTTTCTCAAAAGATTGATGTTACAGTTCTATAATCACAGAAAAATAGAATTTCAGGTTTCTTGTAATATAACAAGAGCACCAGAAAACAATACCTGCTCCACTGTGGATCCAAGTCAGACATCTTAGGTTTTATAAGGCAGTAGTATATTACGAAAGAGAAGAGGTATTCGTGCAAGTCCCCAAAAAAAGCAAAATATGAAAATGCTTAAGACAATTGACTTACAGATATCATCAGTGGCATCTTCTGAACTTTTCCCTCCACAGCACATAATGAAAGGCACTCTTCGTTCAACTACTGCTCGACACTGCACACACTTTTTCATCAGGTTAGCACAGTCTGGAAAATGGTAACACAGACACTTCTTACAAAAGAGAACATTAATGAGAGTGTTGCCTTTCTCTGCTAATCTTTATGACTTAAACTTCACACTGAAATATATGTTATGCAAGTTACATCAATATGCAATTCTACCTCCTTAAAATGTTATCAACCTAAGAATGAGTATTCTCCATCGGTAGCCTCCAGAATAGAGAGCCCTCCATTATGAAAACAATAACATTTTCTAATACAGCTGAATAAACTGTGAAATTTGTTTTTTAAAGAAATAAGTGAAACAATAAATATTTCAAGATCTTAAGACTTGAGAATAAAGGAGAGAGATAATAGTGACAAATGTCAACTAATACTAGAATTATAAGCTTGCTTACATGATAATTTTCTTTATATTTGTTTATTTTTATTTTACTTTAAGCTCTGGGATACATGTGCAGAACTGCAGGTTTGTTGGACGCATACAGGTACACGTGTGCCATGGTGGTTTGCTGCACCTATCAATCCATCACCTAGGTTTTAGGTCCTGAAGGCATTAGCTATTTGTCCTAATGCTCTCTCCCACCCTGCCCGCCACCCCGCCAACATGATAATTTTCTAAAAATATTTTCTATTGTAAATGGCTTTTCTCTAAAAGTGCTAAAATATACTGAACAATTCTTTCCTTCTCTTACCAAATTGATGCAATGTAACAAGGAAATTGCTTACTGATTGCTTTTTTAATATAGCAGTTCAGGAAAAAAATTTAATTTTCATAAAAGATTATCTTTCTAATATTTGATTTGCAAAGGCTATAAACAATATTTCAGAAGAATGCATTCCCATTCCAATAAGAAATATCTAGACACAACTGTATGTTGTGAATTGTTAATACTACCTTACATCTAAACTTGTTAATTAATTATAAAATAACACACAGCAATTCAACATATTCTTTCTCGTTAACATTTATTATGAAAATGTATTCCATATCTTAGCCTACATATCAAGTGTCTTGTCATTTCAAAAATGGGAAAAATAATGGAAACCATGGCAGAATATCCAGGTTACGGCAAACCACTAGATTTGAACAAAGCACAAAACCACTGATGTGGACAGAGTAGGGCCTACATTCCTAACAGTTTACTATGCACACTGACGGATGGAGAACAGTTAGTTACCAAGGCTGACCTCATGCCAAAACCTAAACATAAATGGGTCTGACGCTTGGTTATACATGATGCACTAGGTAGGAGCTAACGCTAAGTGGAAATCTGGTTTGGGATTTGTCTTCAATTTGAAGGCAGATTTTTTTCTTCAACATAAGGACTAATTGACTAAATATATAATATATAAACACAATTATCTAAAATTAACTGTTTAGTTATTGTATTGTTTCTATCTTTGCTTCTATCTTCTCTGTTTGTATTGTTTCTATCTATATTGTTTCTAATCTTTCTTCAGCACCTCCAAAAGGGATGTAATCTCTCCTTCCTTTGGCATGCCAAAGCACTTTCACCGCCTAACCTGACTGTGATGGCAGTACTGCACTAATTACGTTACCGTATACTCCTTGGGAAAGGAATATATTCCACCTCAGTTTCATCTCCCTTAGCAAATAAATGTTTAAGAGCATGTCTATAAAATAGAGAAAACCATCTACTTCTTGGGATTGTTCTGAAAATAAATGAGGAAATACTCAAAAAGAGATTAAAATGCCTGGTACAGAGTTAAGAGCTCAATAAAAGTTGGTTGTTGCTCTTGTCATTAAATACATTTTAAAGCAAAGACTGTTTTTCCTCTTCCAGGGATGCTATCTAGAGGCACTCAGCATGATCTAGTTTTGACACACCATCATAGGCTTTCCTACAACACAGCATTTAACAAAACTAGGCTGTCCCAAACCCTGGTATTGTTAACTTTTTATCAAGAAGGTAGGGAAAGCACCAATGTCTGCATGTGGCGTGTGCTCAGGCAGACTTCAAGGGATTCATGCTGTGAGACCTAAAGTTCTTATAAGGTTGTCTAAAATTTTAAAAACTGTCAGCACGGCCGATAGTGTTTCCATGACTGCTAAATGTACCCATGACAGGATCAAGAATGCTTTCCTTTCGAAGAGCAGAATGTCATTGTGAAAATGTTGAAGGCACAAGCCCAGAGTCAGAAGGCTAAATTTAAAGCTGAAGCTTTTTAAATAAAAAAAAAAAATTTAATTTAATTTTAAAAAATTTTAAAAAGGAACAAAGGCCATGGCAAAAATTCTGGAAGCTCCTGGGGGGAAATATTATATTAAGGCTCTAGAATCTGTGTTATCAACTAATAATTATAATCATCTTTCAAGTCTCATGTAGGTATCACTTTGGTGAATGATAGATGTCAGCAAACTACACCTGAGGGCCAGATCTGACCTGTCATCTGCTTTTATAAAACCAGTTTCATTGAACACAGTCAGGCCCATTTATTTACATATTTTCCATGGTTGTTTTTGCACCACAGTGCAGAGTAGAGCAGTGGGAAAGAGTTGAGTGGTTACTACAGAAACCATGTGGCCTACAAAGCCAAAAATATTTACTATTTCACCCTTTACAAAAAATGTCTGCCAACCTCTGGCCTATGAAAACTTAACCTGAGTCCTTTTTACTTAAGACAGAGAATTCTTTATGTGCCCTTTTGATAGTATTGGGTAATAGCCATTATACCACTCTTTTGTAAACAAAAACAGTCACTTTAGGCAAAATGTTACAAAACAAAACCTTCACCCTTTCTTCAGTTGACCAGCTGCCTATTGCAATTTTTTTTTTTAATTTTTTTTTTTATTTTTTGAGACAGTCTCAGTCTGTTGCCCAGGCTGAGGACACGAGAATCGCTTGAATTGGGAAGGCAGAGGTTGCAGTGAGCTGAGATTGTGTCACTGTACTCCAGCCTGGGTGACAGAGCGAGACTCTGCCAAAAATAAAAAATAAAATAAAATAAAATCCTTTACTGACAAAATGAAGAAAAGCAAAGGGAAGAGAATATTTAACAGTGTATGAACTTGAAAAGAACAAGGGCAAAGGCCTTCAAGACAATATATTTAAAAGAAACTTTAAAACATCTTTTAAATTTTAATACTATCCTCACACAGAAAAGATTTCTAAAAGCTCTCTTGGCATAAAAGTTTACAGAAGGCCAGAAATTACAGCCCCAGAAACGGTTGCTGTTGATTCTTCTGCAGTGAGGAAAGTACACAGGAGAGGCAATATTAAGGTGAAGACAAATGAAGACATGCTAATTTTCTATGTGAACAAAGACTAGACTAAATGTTTTAATATTTATTTTTCAAAATAAATTTCTATTATGTGTGGAAAGAGACCCTTTTGTGCTAATACAACTGAAATAAAACACAGCATATTCAGTCTTCCCTAATGCTCAGACGCATGGAGGGAAACAGCTGACATTCTAGTATGGAGAAAGAAATAGAAGGTACTCGGGGCCCATCAACTTTTTTATGAGTTATCCAAAAGCAAAAGCAAAAAAACCCTCAAAACCATAATTTTGTTTCACTTTCTATTTTTGTAATAATATTGAGGAACTCTGTATAAGCTACTTACTCTCACAAGCACACATGTGGCCGCAGGGTTGAAAAAGAACAGCTGCTTTCTTGTCAGAGCACACCACACATTCTTCAATCTATAGAAAAAGAGGTTACAGCACAGAGTGACCATCTATAGATAAATCTAGTAACACTAACAAGTTCGATTATATCCAAATGTATTTCCTCCATAAGAAAACACTCTAGGCACAGAGAAATTTAACACACACTTTCCCCTCATCCTCTGCTTTCCTGGTTATTCATTTTCACATCTTTATATATCCTAGCTTAACAGGCACTTATTTCTATTCTACCTTCATCTCCCTATCTGTCCTAAAATATAGAATAAAAAAAAACTCCACTTCCTCTGAGAAAGCCTCTGGAGGCTTCAATATTTTTTCCCCCAAAAACTACTTTTGAGGGGGAACTAAAAAAGACAATGAACAAATAAAGTAGTAAAATAAGAAATGACTAGGCCGGGTGCAGGGGTTCACGCCTGTAATCCCAGCACTTTGGGAGGCCGAGGCAGGCGGATCACAAGGTCAAGAGATTGAAACAATCCTGGCTAACACAGTGAAACCCCATCTCTACTAAAAATACAAAAAATTAGCCAGGCGTGGCAGCGTGCACCTGTAGTCCCAGCTACTCCAGAGGCTGAGGCAGGAGAATGGTGTGAACCCAGGAGGCGGAGCTTGCAGTGAGCCGAGATCATGCCACTGCACTCCAGCCTGGGCGACAGAGCGAGACTCCATCTCAAAAAAACAAAAAAGAAATGACTGAAAGAAATGACTAAAAGAAGACAGATTTCTAATATTAATAAAAATCTAGCTAGACTAGCCAAATTGCTAAAATCCAAGAGGGATTTTTCTGTTTACCCACATTTAAGATACTCTACCTTAAAGTGCCCTTTTCCAGAACTTGGTCAGTTCCCATGCTGCCTGAAGCCCACGGCTTTGGGCTGTTCTTTCTCTCTGATCTCTAGCAAGACTTCCACAGCCTATCCATAACCTCCCTCACTTTCACCTCCTCTTCATGTCCACTTAATCTGAGCTTGGACATTTAACTATTAATTACCTTGGCTCTGGCTTCCTGTATCCCCACCCCACAGCCCTTGGCTACTCATCTGTCTTTCACCTATTCTCCCTTCTAACACAGAGTCACATTTAGCCATCTCTGGCGTCACTTAATATTACTGTTCAAAAATGGCAACTACTATTCACCTACAGCATCACCCAAACAACCAAATACATGTACGCATGCTCTCTCTCTCTCTCTCTATGGACTTTCCCAACTTATACCTCAGTATGCACACAGAATTTATGTAAGTATAGAAAAAGTGGAATGCAGTAAGACATGGTTGATCAAGACACTGACATTCCTGGATTCAAAATCTACCTCCAACACCAACAAATTACCTAACATTGTTGGGCTACAACATTATTTATCTAAACAATAAAGAATAATCCTTCACAGGGTGATAAAGAGTAAATCAGATAGGTATAAAGTAGTTCAATGTGTAATATATAAAATCAGTGCCTAATACATAATAATTATCTTCTCCTTTCTACATAACGTGTTGGTTTTTAAAATGGTTTCCATTGCATTTGTCTTTTTGTCGGAATTGTTTCTAAAGAGTTTAAAATAATATAGCCAACTGCTCTAAAAACCATATCTGTATCTATTCCCCTATTGTAAGAAAAAAAATTGTAGCCATACCTTTTCCTCCTGAATTATTTCCTCAGGTTAGACTTCCAGGAGTGGAGTCACTAAACCAAAGCATACTGTGTCATGTTTGTACATACAGCCGGGCTGGCCTCCTAGACTCCAGTTTAGAGACTGCCTGTTTGCCACTTTCCTTGCTAGCATTTTTTAAAACGTGTATTTGCTATTTCAACAGAAATAGTTCATGTTAATTCAATTAATTTCTTTCTTTGTATTTCTCTAACAGAAAAGGATCCTGTGCTTGTTTATACCACCCTCCAAATACTGTAATTTGTTTTTCTTCAATGAAGATGTTCATTATCCTTTAACCACTTGGGGTCACTATTTCTTCATAGTCAAAGGCTCTACAACCAACCTGGCAAATCTGTTGGGTGGGTGTATCAATAGTTTTTCTACTTTTCTACAGATTTAAAACTTTTATATTTAAAAATCAAATTGCAAGCCTATTAATTCTTGAAATAACTATATTCAAAAGGTCTGAAAAAGAATGAAAGCATATTCTTTCCTCTTTCCTCTCTCCTTCTCTGTTCCATCAACTATCCCTTGCAGACATCATTCTTAATTTTGTCTATGCACCTGAAAAGAACAGGGGCTTAAGAATCAAGAGACCTGCATTCAAGAACCAGCTGTCAGTATATTTCTTTGAGCCACAGCTTTTGTAAGAATAACTTCATAGCTAAGACTCTGCTTCTGACAACTTGAGGCTCTAAACTCCTACTCAGTTTATAACTCTCTTAAAGCACCTATAACACCCAATATGACAGAGTAGCTTATATATAAGTCATAGTTTACCAATAGATTACAAATTTTTAGCAGGTGATTATTATATACATCTTTGTCTTGACTATAAAACAGGAGTTCAATAAAGGTTTGTTGAAACAGGGTTTAATCTAACAAAAAGTTTCAAACACAATGGCAGAATACACAGATCAATCTAAAAACAAAAGAACGGCTTAAATTTTTGTTCTTCTTTTATATTCTTTCCCAAACTATTACTTTGTAAGCAGGCACCTAAAGCAAATTATAAATGCCAAGTAGAATGATCCACATTAATTTATTAAGCAGGGTTAACACCTATTTAATACAAATGAAATGCCAACACAGTGTTTGGCACACAGTAAGTGCTATTAGTTCACCCTTCTCAGCTTTATGAATTGATCAAGCAGCTACATACATACAAGCACTCCAGTATCTCCTATCAAAAATAACTTCCTTGTGCTTTTTCCTGTGCTAAAAATTCTATGAAAGATACATTAATTTCGATCATAAAAACCACCCAGGCTTAGAAGGTTGAAAATAGAAGAAGCACTATCAAGGCAACACCTTTTAAGTCACTGCCAGCTGATTCATTATGAGAATTACTAACAGCTCCTTTCTTATTAATGATGGTTAATGAATAGCTTAAGAAAAAATAAATAGCAAGACAGAAATAAAGATTATAAAAAGAAGGGAATGGAAAAAGAAATATAAACTCCATGAGTTTTTACTTCAAAACCAACATACTCTTTGGTTTAAACTATTCACCTCGAGAGAAACATTTTTGTAGGAAACTCAAATTTCACTTTATATGCAACACACACACACACATTTGAGTACTGAAAAACTAAAAAATAAATTATTTCAGTAAAGCAAAATTAGTAATATGGTACAGTTATAATAAAGCACTAAGTTACATGGAAAACAATAAAACTCAGAAAAGAACTATACTTCCCAAAAAGCAAAAGGAGTCAAGAGAGAGAAAAAGTTCAGAGCAGATATAGATTTTGGCCATCACTAATTACAGGGAGACAAGACTTTATTTGCCTTCAGATGGGACATAATGTAAAGTGTGTGGCATCAACTGTGAAGCTTTCTTGCCAAAAATGTTAAGCAGACCCTGATCAAACTATTACATCTAACTTCCAGCTTACAGGAAACACAGAAGACAGCAAGTTAAACAACAACTTGATAAAACAATCAAATCTAGAATGTGTGACAATCTACCAAATAAATGAATTAAGTATTTTACAAATATGAATACAAAACAGTTTGTGTACTTCAAAAAAAGTGCAACATACAAGTAACTACAATCCAAAGTAGAATAAATCTATCTTTAGGTTACAGGGAGCTTTGAAAGCAAAATGGTAGATAATTTTAACTTTACCATACTTTAGATATAATGAAGGGAACACATTAACAGCTAAAAAAATTTGGCAGTAAAAATGGTGTATCGATAAACTCAGATAATAATTAACTTAGCAAATCAGTACATTAATAAGCAAGATTGTAAACCAGCAATAAATTAAGAAAGTCTGATCTCCTGATAAATACAGAAATTATATATTCCTATATTTAAATCATTCTTTGGAAGAGCAAAATTACACAGATGCATGACGTCATTTAATCTTATTATTAATTCTAGTCTCAAAGAACTGCATAAAATGACAAAATACTATATTAAATATATCTTACCTTTGTCCTGGATTGAACCTGTTCTTTACAGATGAGGCATTTCTTGACTCGTGGAGAACATAAAGAACAGGTAGCAATATGTCCACATGGGCCAAAAAGAGTATCTCTCTTCATATCTGAGCACACCATACACTCTTCTAAGGTTTCAGAATCATTACTAATCATAGAAGGACTCCGAGAACCCACCTGACCACTAATAAAAGAAAGTATTTCAAATCAAGCCTATCTTATTACAAATTCACTAATTAAAATGTTTAAAAATACACCTGGAGCATCATTAGTATACATAAAAAGTCATATTAAAGAATTAAGCTTTAACATCTGTATGTGAAACACTAAATTTTTGTGTTTATATACATCTCTGCATCTTTAGGTACTTCTAACACAATTCAAACTTCAAACTGAACACTCACTCACCCAGTGGAAAAGGATGAATCTTCTAACAATGAAATAAAAAACAGCAATAAAAAAAAACTTAGCATAAACAAAATTTTGCTCAGAACCTGTTGTATCTATATAGAACCAGCAGAGGAAGGCATAGGAATAAAACAAAAATCCCCACCAGCCCCCATGTTATTTATCCTAACCAAAGATGGAACAAAGTGTCAACAGAGTCCACAACAGATAGGGCACTTTGGAAAATATAACACTTCAGCTGCTGTTTTGACATTTTAAGTGTATCCTTAAGGCATATAAAATTATATTACAGAAAGATAGAATGCATCTGTAAACACAGACACAAGGCACAGAAATACATATGACCACCTACAGCTACAGAAAAGGGATGTCCTGTTTCTACCACAATTTCAGAAACTCATGAACACATACACACATGTACACAAAGAGGGTCCATCTTAGACCCCATTGTTTAAAAGTTATTACTGCAGTAATTACAGTGCCTTGTATCTTTATATTTATAGATACATTCTCTTTTTTATTTTGTTTTGTTTTGAGATGGAATTTTGCTCTTGTTGCCCAGGTTGGAGTGCAGTGGTGTGATCTTGTGTCACTGCAACTCCGCCTCCCAGTTCAAGCAATTCTCCTGTCTCAGCATCCCAAGTAGCTGGGATTACAGGCGTGCGCCCAGCTAATTTGTGTATTTTTAGTAGAGACAGGGTTTCACCATGTTAGCCAGGTTGGTCTCGAACTCCTGACCTCAATCCACCTGCCTCAGCCTCCCAAAGTGCTGAGATTACAAGTGTGAGCCTCCGCACCTGGCCGATGCATGCTCTTTTTGTAATAGAATTTAATGTTCCTTAAGAATACACTTAAAGAAATGTATATACCTCACTATATTAATTTCCTCTATAACACAGTTCTATGCACAGATTCCAAAGAGATAATATTTCATCACTACACATAAATTAAAAGAGAGGCAAGGAACACTAAGGTTAAGCAACAGCTACTGAAATTTCAGTGACAAGAACCAGGTATAAAGGGCAACAACAGTTGCACAGCACTGTTCAGATTTAAAAAAGCAATGAGATGTGTACCTTTTTGTACAGCCATAATATCTCATAAGGAAATCAGTTATGTCATAAATAATAACTAAAATCACTGACATATCTTTCAGAAAAAGAGACAAATGTGAAATGATCATCTTTAGAGAAAACTCCACCAGGAACTGTTGCATTCATGTATTAATTCTGTCAATTCTCCATTGATAGTTACTGAGTGCACCTGTCAGGCACTGAGCAGGGTGCTAAGATTTATTACAGAGTTTGTGTGAGATATATACCCTGTTCACGGAGTGTAAGTTGCCTCTCTTAGGAAGATTCTATTTAAATTTTAAATACAGAGCCAGGCACAGTGGCACATGCATAAAGTCCCAGCTACTAAGGATGAAGCAAAAGGATCGCTTGAGCCCAGGAGTTTAAGTCCAACCTGGGCAACACAGCGAGACCTATTTTTAAGAAATAATAATAATAAAATAAAAAATAAATACAATTTAAAATACATATAACATTAATAAAAGCAATTTTACTAGAGGACTTTTTCTTATAAATCCCTCTAACACATGGGAGTACTAGAAGATCAGACTAGTTTAGTTCCTTGGAACTTATTAAATATAGAGCATTGCACTTAATAATGTGTGGAATGTGGCATAAAATAAGAGACAAGCTGCCTGCAGAAAAATTTTCAATGAAGAAAAATTTCAGGGACGAAAGGGTCAACAAAAAGACACAGGAAAAGCAAAGATAAAGACATCTTCAAGTAGCCACGTCCTCCATTATGAAACCACATGATATTTTCTGTACAGAATATTAAGTTTTATGATAATAAATTATACAAACCTGACTTTTTCCTTATGACACTTTGCCAGTGCTTTGCAGAGATTCGGATCAGGACAGAGATCAAGTGGCGACTGACCCTTCTTATTTCGAATGCTCAGGTCAGCGCCATTGGCTGCCAAGAAACAGGCAATAGATGCTGCACTCTTCTTCTCTGCCCCCTGGGTACCAAGTCCCATTATTAACTGCAATAAAATAAAAAGAGTCATGATTTTCCCTCTAGGAATCTGCCATCAATTCTTGCCATCACATATATGTATGTGTGTGTATGTTGGATATTTGTGACTTCCAGTCCTAATGTTCCCTCCCCACCGCTCTACCCCAGTTTTCTCAAGCATACACACAAGTATGCTTTCTCCAGTTGTAGAGGTGGACCTACATTCTCCAGCTGCAGGGGTGGACCAAAAATGGCCCAAACCAGTCAGATATCTCTACCTTACCTATGTGGCTAGTACAGGGATGGACAAATAACCCAAATCAAGTCAATTAAGCCCAACGGAACTCAAAAGTGGGACTTCGATTGAGATACTAATTAATTTGGCTCTGGAGCAGTTAGCAACCAACTTGAAACAATGACAGGAGAGAAAACTGAGAAAAGAATCAATGACTAGGAACTGAGCCAAGATATAGAGAATGAGACAAATTAGGGTCTGATCATATTATCTGAGATTCTTCTCGTCATCTTATGTGAAAATAGTAGCAATAATTGTTAACATTTACTGAGTGTCTAAAATGGATCAAGTATTATTTTACACATTTTCCATGATCTTTACAACAACCTTATCAAGGTAAGTGCTCTCCTCTTCCCATTTTAAAATGAGAAAAAAAGAGGCACACAGAGCTAAGAGAATTTATCCATGGTCATAAATAAGGCAGAGGTCTCAAACACTTTGGTCTCAGAACCTTTTTACCCTCTTAAAAATGATTTAAAAATTCATATGGAAATGTGAAGGACTTAGAATAGTCAAATTAACTTCGAAAAAACAAGAAAACTGGAGGACTTACACTACCTGACTTCAACACATATTATGTAGACAGTAATCAAGACTGGGGGAAATAGCTAAAAACATAGACCAATAGAACAGAATACATGATCCAGAAAGAGATCCTCACATAAACAATTAACTGATTTTGGATAAAAGTACACTGGCAATTCAGTAGAAAAAGAAAGTTTTTTCAGCCAGGTGTGGTGGCTCATGCCTGTAATCCCTGGACTTGGGGAGACTGTAGCCGGTAGATCACGAGGTCAGGAGTTCGAGACCAGTCTGGTCAACATAGTGAAACCCCGTCTCTACTAAAAATACAAAAAATCAGTGGGGTGTGGTAGTGTGCACCTGTAATGCCAGCTACTTGGGAGGCTGAAGCAGGAGAATCGCGTGAACCTAGGAGGTGGAGGTTGCAGTGTCCCAAGATCACACCGTTGCACTCTAGCCCGGGCAACAGTGCGAGACTCTGTCTCAAAAAAAAAAAAAAAAAAAAGAAAAGAAACAGAAAGTCTTTTCAACTAATGGTACTGGAACAACTGGATATCCACAAGTAAATGAACCTGGATCCACACGTCACACAATATATAAAAATTAACTCAAAAAGAATCATAGACCTAAACATAACAGCTAAAACTTTATAAACTTCTAGTACAAAACATAAAACCTTAGTGATCTTGGGTTTGGCAAAGATGTCTCAGACAGAACACAAAAAAAAACATAAATGATGAAAGAAAAACTTGATAAATTAGGCTTCTTCAAAATTAAAAAACTTGACTCTTCCAAATCACTATTAGAAGAATGAAAAGGGCTGGGCGTGGTGGCTCACGCCTGTAATCCCAGCACTTCAGGAGGCAGAGGCGGGCAGATCACGAGGTCAGGAGATCGAGACCATCCTGGCTAACAAGGCAAAACCCCGTTTCTACTAAAAAGAATACAAAAAATTAGCCGGGCATGGTGGCAGGCGCCTGTTAGTCCCAGCTACTCAGGAGGCTGAGGCATGAGAATCACCTGAACCCAGAAGGCAGAGGTTGCAGTGAACCGAGATCATGCCACTGCACTCCAGCCTGAGTGACACAGCGAGACTCCGTCTCAAAAAATAAAAAATAAAAAAAGAATGAAAAGACAAATCTCCTACCAACTGGGAGAAAATATGTGCATTCACATATAAAGAATTTGTATTCCGATTACATAAAGAACTCTCAAAACTCAGTAATAAGAAAACAACAAACACAACAAAATAATGAACAAAAGATTTGAGCAGACACTTTGTAAAATACATGTGGTGATAGGCAAATGAAAAGATGCTCAACACCAATAGTCATTAGGGAAATGCAAATTAAACCACAGTAAGATACCACCACGTATCTACTTATGAATGGTTGATGTCAAAAAGAACTGAACAGCCAGAGGTGGTAGCTCAGGCCTGTAATCCCAGCACTTTAGGAGGCCAAGACAGGTGGATCACCTGAGGTCAGGAGTTCAAGACCAGCCTGACCAACATGGTGAAACCCCGTCTCTACTAAAAATACAAAAATTAGCTGGACATGGTGGCAGGCGCCTGTAATCCCAGCTACTTGAGAGGCTGAGGCAAGAGAATCGCTTAAACCCGGGAGGTTGCAGTGAGCAGAGATGAAGCCATTGCACTCCAGCCTGGGCAACACAGTGAGAGTCCATAACAACAACAACAACAGAACTGAACAACTTTTGGTAAAAATGTGGAGCAATAAGTTAGTACTGACTAAGTTCATAAACTAAGTTTCTAAGTACGTAGGTCTGATAAAATATTTTATCCAATACAGATTAGATTACCAGTAAATATAAGATCTTGCATAAAAAGGTTCTTCCACTGGTACTGAATGAAAGATGATCTTTACTCACTGTGTTTTTGGATGGCTCCCAGGCAGCATCCACCTTCCCCACATCTTGCATATCTTGGAGCTGACGTAGCTGAGACAAAGTGTGATGCCTTAGAGCTTCATGCAAAGGAGTATCCCCATCCTTATCCTGAATATCCAGCTTGGCACCTGCACGGACCAAAAGCTAAAAGAGAAAGATGTCTCATATTGGTAACGTGTCCACATACATAAGAAACTTCAACATATCTAAAGTAATGGTGAGAGCACCCTGGACCTACTGAAGAAGTTACCACTAAAGCTAATCATTTTTATGCTTTTGCCTTCTATTCTTCTCCAACCCTGTGGCTCCTTACAAAGACTGATGTGTTCTGGTTATTTAAATATATTGAATTAGAGAAAATAAAAATATATGAGAATCGATATGTTACTTAATTCATCTACTCTAAGATGATGATAATGGGGGGATATTTAGGACTTTATTTCTCTTTTTAACTTTAGATATATGACTTGAGATATGTCAAGCACTTCCACCAGGACCAAATCATAATGTTCAAAATTCTTTTATTATGTAAACAAACAAGCAACTGTTATTACTGATTCCATTTCTTTTGGTAAATTTTCTCCAAATGTATGGTCATGAGGAAAGCCATGGAGGATAGCAAGAGGAATTTCAAATAACAATAAATGTGAACAGTGTTTGCTAAGCTACAACCCCTTAAATAAAAATGCATAGTTGACATTTCAATAGATTACTTTAGCAGTAAATATAAGTTTATTAAAACTTTGCTTATGGTGCTTTACCAATTTCCCTAATCCTTTCTAGGATACTTACTGAAGAGCTTTAGAAAAGTACCATCTATATATAGAAACCAATCTCAAGCATATAGTCTTATGTGTCTTGGCAAATCACATTGTATTCAGATTTACTTACATCTAACTATGCCATTTTGAGACATGTAACACTGTATCATTTCAATTTTCAGGAAGTTCTAAGAATCTGTATGGTTAAAATGTAATTGTAAGCTAAAATGTATGTCAATACTTTACCCTAACAATTTGGGTATGCTGTCGTTCAACAGCAAGGTGTAGGGCAGTTTGTTGGTTCACATTCTGGATATCCAGGTTTGCGTTACCCTGAACGAGAAGAACAAATTTTAAATGGTTAAAGTAAAGTAAACATGAAAACAGTAAAGAACGTGAAAACTAACTACTCATAAGGAATAAATAACACCGAACACTGCTGGCTACTTTCTCCTTCAGCTGCTGTAAGGTTATTCTCATATGGTAACAGTTGCTGTTAAAGTAGAAAAATGGATGGGGCAACTAACTTTCTGAAGTAAAACAGCAAGTTTTAAAAATCATCTTTATTATGCTAATTCCATCTAAGAACAGTTAAAAAGGACAAAGCACAGTACAGTTCAAAGACAGATCTCTTTCAATCTCCACTATAAAGCAATGGAAATAATTAACTCCTTAGAACTGTAAATATTCCCTGAAAAGTTACATTAATGAGTCTGCACACTGGATTTAGATTTACTTTAATGACCTAATAATTTCACTTCCCCTTGCTGCATATTTGAGCTCTTCCTCAATCTGTGAAAAGAAACTTTGCTTTAGGTGAGAAGGCAATGCTTAATTCGTACATAAAAGTATGCATTAAAGTAAGCAGAAAGTCCTACCCCAGATCCTAGGGCAGCCAAAGAATCATATGAGAAAAGCTGAACCCTGATGAAGAAAAAGACTGAGGCACAAAATAAGTGCACCTCGGAGTCTGGGGACCTAGGTCAAAGCTCCGTCATCTATTTCCTCAGCTCCAAAATGGTGACAGTTAAAACCTATTTCACAGGGTTAATGTGAAGATTAAGAAAAATAACATATAAAAATGGCTAGCAAATGGCTAGCATAATTTTAAATTTTTTAAAAATGAGATCAACAAAAGAGCTGAAGATTCAAAAGATAAACTTTGATCATTTCGTTTAGGTCTTAGAACCACGCATGCCCTCTGGTTACAACTCTGATACTAGGGAGGGGTATATGGAGCTGAAACTTTGGTAATGTTATATTATATTCTTCAAGATGGGAATTTCTCATTTGTTTTTATTATGTTTCTTTGATATGTGGTCAGAGGGCACCTGATCTCAGCTTCTTTTCTTCTTTTTTGAGAGTCTCACTGTGTCACCCAGGCTGTAGTGCAGTGGCACACAGCTCACTGCAGCCTCAAACTCCTGAGCTTAAGGAATACTCCCGCCTTAGCCTCCTGAGTGTCAGCTTAATTTTTTATCATGTCTATTTCTCATATAAATGTGAACAATGGGGATTTTCTTTAAGTTTCCTGAGCTTTTCCAGCATTGACATTTCACTAAATAGTATTCATTGCATGGGTGCACCACAATTTGCACAATTTGTTTATCCAGGCACTAGCTTAATTAACATTTGGCTTCGCTTCCAGTATGGGGCTAATAATAACTGCTGCAAACATTCAGTACAAGTATTTGCTTAGAAAGGTGTCCAACGTTCTCTTCAGTACATACCTAGTAGTGGGATAGCTAAGTCACATGGTAAATTTATGTCAAACTTTGTAAGAAACCACCAATTTGTTTTTCAAAGTGCCTGCTTTAAAAAAACACCAGCACTGTATACGAATTCTAATTGTTCCACATCCTAACCAATACTTGGTTTTATTGGTCTTTTAATTTTAGTCATTCTAGTGGGCAACTGGTAGTATCTGGTTGTGGTTATTTCTATTTTGTTAATCACTAATGACACTTTCACTTGCCTATTTGCTAACTGTATATCTCCTTTAGTAAAGTGGATGTTTAAATCTTTTGACCATTTTTATATTTGTCCTTTTATTTATTTTTATTTTTTGGAGATGGTGTCTCACTCCCTCTTCACCCAGGCTGGAATGCAGTGGCATGAAGCCTCAACCTCCCAGGCTCAAGTGATCCTTCCATCTCAGCCTCCCAAGTACCTGGGACACAGGCACATGCCACCACACCCAGCTAATTAAAATATATATATACACACGTGTGTGTGTGTGTGTGTGTATGTGTGTGTAGTAGAGATGAGTTCTCACAATGTTGCCCAGGCTGGTCTCGAACTCTTACACTCAAGCAATTCTCCTGCCTCAGCCTCCTAAAGTGCTGGGATTACAGGCATGAGTCACCAGGCCTGGCTGGTTTTATGGTTTAAGTTTTTATGTTCAGGTCTATGACCCATTTAATTTTTGGATAAGTTGTGAAGTAAAGTCAAGGTTTTTTGTTTGGGTTTTTTTGTTTTTGGTATATGGATATCTACTTGGTTTAGCCCTATTTTTGGGAAACAATCCTTTCCCATATTACTTTGGCACTTCTATAAAAAAAAGGAATTGACTATATATGTATGGTTCTTTTTTTCTTAAGTAATCTGAGTTGCTGTTTATACATATGTGTGGTTCTACTTCTGCATTTTTTATTCTTTTGGTTTGTATGATTGCTATATAGAAAATACTAAGTAATCCACAGAGAAGATACTAGAATAAGTTTAAGCAAGGTCACAGGATATATGGAAAACATACAAAAATTGTATTTGTATCTACTAGCAATATACAATTGGAAATTGAAATGTAAAAACAATTCTGTTGAGTGACTCATTGATTGACTGGGCCTTGCTCTGCTGCCCAGGCCAGAATGCAGTGGTGTTACCACAGTTCACTGTAACCTCCAACTGCTGGGCTCAAGCAATCCTCCTGCTTTAGCCTCCTGAGTAGCTGGCATTACAGGGGCGTGCTACCACATCCAGCTAAAATACAATTTATAATAGCATCCGCAAAAGCCTACTGAAGAACAAATCTAATATATGCAAGAGCAATCAAACTCCCAAAAGACTTTTTAATAGAAACTAATAAGCTGATTCTAAAATTTATATGGACAAGGCATGGTGGCACTTTGGGAGGCTAAGGCAAGATGATCACTTGAGACCAGGAGTTTGAGACCAGCTTCGGCAACATAGAACTTGTCTCTACAGAAAAAATAAATAAATAAAAGCCAGGCATGGTGGCGCATGCCTATAGTCCCAGCTACTTGGGAGGCAGGAGGATTGCTTGAGCCTGGGAGGTTAAGGCTGCAGTGAGCCGTGATTGTGCCACTGTACTCCAGCCTGGGTGACAGAGTGAGATCCAGTCTCAAAAGCAAACAAAAAATTACATGCAAATGCAAAAGATCTAGAACATTAGAGGAATCCTGAGAAAGAAGAAGAAAGAGGATTTAATCTATCTGATTTCAAGACTTACTACAAGGCAACAATAACCAAGACATCAAGATAGTGTTACAAGTTCACTTAGATTTTTGAATAAAAAGGAATTATCATAATTAACAGAGAGTAGTAATTTTAATAGTAAAGATTTAAAGTAGTAGGGGGGTAGCTTAACTTTTGACATATTTCTTTAAATTTCTGTAGTTTTTGGAATGTATACTTTATAATTTGGTATTTAATTACATATATTATTTGCTAAATTTTTCTGTTTCATCTTCTTAACTAGACTATAAATTCCTTGAAGTCAGGAACCACAGATAATTCTTTGGTAATTTCAGTGCATCTATATGGCATATGCTTTACTGAAGCATATGAAAAATTTGCTGAAATTACTAAAATATCCTAAAACCACAAAATAGGCTCCCTGCAAAATCCAATCTCATAAAAACATAGTGTCATCCTATTCTGAGATGAATGAAATGACTAAGGTGAGTCTGTAATGCTATCAAGTCATAAATTCCAGGGGTCAGCAGTAGTTATGAAATAAATCCCCTAATCTTAGCTACAAACTGCAGTCTGCTGACAACTGGCCACACTGTTTAATTATCAACACAGATGGTCTTGGTGCTGTGGTTGATGATACTTCCATAACAGTGGCAGCCATTCTGGGAAATCTCTGTTAGTTGATGCCCATTTTGTAGCACCCACCCATCCAGGAAGACTGTGCACAGGAAATCCTGGGAATTGAGGGACTCACTCTCACATACACATTACCATCCTGCATTTAAGAAGTATTGGGCAGAAGACAGAATATGCATTATATCTGAATTTTCATCATCATGAGGTTTTACTGGAACCTACTAACAGGCAATTTATAAAGCAATAAATAAATGAATGGCAATGGTCCCAAATTGTTTTAAAAAAGAGAGAGAGAGGGCCAGGCGCGGTGGCTCAAGCCTATAATCCCAGCACTTTGGGAGGCCGAGACGGGCGGATCACGAGGTCAGGAGATCGAGACCATCCTGGATAACACGGTGAAACCCCGTCTCTACTAAAAAATACAAAAAACTAGCCGGGCGAGGTGGCGGGCGCCTGTAGTCCCAGCTACTCGGGAGGCTGAGGCAGGAGAATGGTGTGAACCCGGGAGGCGGAGCTTGCAGTGAGCTGAGATCCGGCCACTGCACTCCAGCCTGGGCAACAGAGCGAGACTCCGTCTCAAAAAAAGGAAAAAAAAAAAAAAAAAAAAGAGAGAGAGAGAGAATTATTTAACTCTTTTCTTACCTGATGTACCAACAGTTCCGCCACTTCTACATGATTATTAAGGGCAGCCAGATGTAAGGCAGTATAACCATCATCTTTCTTCTCATCCACAATCCATGGTCTTGGTAATTTAGATAGTAAAACACGCATTGCACTGAAAGTTAAATTCACATTATTTCTATATTTGCATAATTTGATATATTTTCTTTAGAAAATACACTCAAAAGAAACTTTTGCAATCAAATGAAGATACTCCTCTTTAAAGAAAATCATGCTCTTAGAGACAAATAGAAATTCCACTTTTCTAAATCTCAAATGTGCAGCTTTAATTTAATTTTTTTTTTTTTAAGAGATGAGGTCTTGCTATGTTGCCCAGGCTGGCCTTGACAGAGACTACAGGTGCATGCCGCCATGCCCAGCTAGCTTTTTGGTATTTTGAGAGGTAGACACACTATTACTATCTGGGAAATAGAATCAAAACAGAATGGAAGTGCTGCAAAGAGGAAACACAAGAGGGAAAAACCAAAGAGAAAAGAAATATACCCTAATGAGGGCACCACTTTGGCTTTGTGGAACCTCTCAGGTTCAGTATCAATAGTATTTATTAATGAAACAGTTAATGAAGAACAGCCAGATAACAATTTTTAGAAGTAGGAAAAACTTTGATAATTAAAACACTATATATGCTGAACTATCTTAGCTGACAGATTATTGTGTAGCTGGTTATCATGAATTGCAGTTAAAATTTGACATCATTTAGAAGTGGTAAACCAAGTTTGGAGCAAAACACACAAAATGGCCATTATAATTTAATACTTAAAATTTAAAAATCAGTAAAAAAATATTTCCAAAGCAAAAAATAGAAAGTTATACAAAAGAGAATTAAAGATGTAAACTCCAGGCACCGAAGAGCAGAACTAAGTTCAAGAAGTCTGAGAATGAACAAAAAAAAAAAAAAAAGAAGTCTGAGAATGGGTTGTGGAGGACTGAAGAACCTCTAAAATTACACTTAATCATTTGGAAACTTTTATTACACTTTTTTTTTTTTTTTGAGATGGAGTCACGCTCTGTCGCCCAGGCTGAAGTGCAGTGGCACCATCTCGGCTCACTGCAAGCTCCGCCTCCGGGTTCATGCCATTCTCCTGCCTCAGCCTCCCGAGTAGCTGGGACTACAGGCACCCACAACCACACCCAGCCAATTTTTTGTATTTTTAGTAGAGATGGGGTTTCACCTTGTTAGCCAGGATGGTCTCGATCTCCTGACCTCATGATTCACCCGCCTTGGCCTCCCAAAGTGCTGGTATTGCAGGCGTGAGCCACTGCGCCCGGCCTTTTATTAGACTTTTTAAACAGGTTTATGAACCCAAAGTATACTGAGAATCACAGCTTACGGAGCCCCTTCCATGGCTGTAACTGAGTTATAATCACTGTTTGGGGATAACAGACTTCTTTGGAGAGCTATGGGCTCTCCTCCAGAGAAATGCATGTCAAAATCTTTACCTATTAATACAATTTTGGGTAAGTCTACAAACCCCTAAATCCCATTCATGGGCTTCATGTAAGACTAAGGTTTTCTGCTTTTGTTTTCAGTCACTAGTAAGGATTTTACTCCTCCTCATTCCATAAATTAAAATAAAATACTAGATATCATACAGACTTTGAGATTCTCAATGGGAATAAGTATTGGTAACACATTATACTACTGATGTTTGGATAGTCATGATGTGAATGCCATACATTATCTCTTACCCTACACATTTGAGCACATAAGAAACAGAACTTACAGGAGTAAACAGTTCTGGAAAATTTTAAAGATACAAGTATTAAATCATGTGAAAAGTGAAAAAACATTTTATTAAAATCAAAATGTAAAAATAATAATGTAAATACTTGTCATTGACTTAAACAAAAATTGTGATATAATCATGTTGAGAGGAATGGTAGTAACAGAGGGTATTACTTTTAAATCTTCATTTTCCATAACATGAAGTCACTAGATGCCTATAATTGATAAATTAAGAAATTACAGGATAAATTACAAGTTGTTGGTGCAGACAAAAAACGGGTAAGGAGGGATGAAGCAGAAGATATTTATCTTTCATTATAAGTTTTGTAGTAACATTTGACTTAACTATGTACATATATTAGCTTGATTAAAAACTTTTTTTTGTTTTTTTCTGAGACAAAGTTTCTCTTTGTTGCCCAGGCTAGAGTGCAGTTAGTGGCACAATCAGAGTTCACTGCAGTTTCAACCTCCCAGGCTCAAGTGATCCTCCTGCCTCAGCCTCCCGAGTAGTTGGGAGTATGGGTACATGCCACCATACCCAGCTAATTTTTGTGTATTTTTTGTAGAGATGGGATTTCACCATGTAACAGCCCAGGCTGGTCTTGAACTCCTGAGCTTAAGCCATCCACCCGCCTTAGCCTCCCAAAGTGCTAGGATTACAAGCATGACCCACCATGCCCAGTCTAAAAACGTTTTTGAAATCAAAACACTAAGATAATATTTGGGCTTATTGCCTTGAAGTATTTTTAATATGCACCTGTATTCCTTTTAACCTCTTAGATATACCACTGTTACAGAAAGTATTAAAATTATAGTGTGGTTCACAGTAACTTCATGTTTTTTTTAAAGTCTTTGAGTGAATAGATATTTCTGAGAAGCTGGTTAACAGAATCATGTTTCCCATTGTCTTCCATTCTAGTTTCAGAAGTACATTCTCATATTATTAGGTTGGTGCAAAAGTAATTGCAGTTTTTGCCATTAAAAGTTAATACAATGCCAACAGCTCAAAGAAAGGAAACGGGTAGGAGAGCAATTCCTCCTCTGGGCACAAGCTGCTGGTGGAGATGAAGCCATCATGTACTTGTTCTTCTTGTCTTGCATGTCATAAGCAAACAAGCTAGGGGAAGTTGAAGTCCCTCAAAAGGGCCATGGCTCAGAAAGTTATTAAGACACTTACACAGAAACAGATATGTATTCTTGAAAGCCTGCTGGTTCTTTGCTGTCTCCTTACTTTGTGTCTTTTTGGGTTTTTCTCTCAGTAGGATATATATATATAACTGAACCGTCAGAACAAGGGAAAGACAGTAATTTCAGGATATCACTTAAGTGACAAAAATTGTCCTACTCTCTTCCAGATCACCTTCTACAAAGTACTCAAATCCTAACATTAAAATGAAAAGGTAATGCATTTAATAAAATGTTTTTTCACTTTTCACATGATTTAATACTTGTATCTTTAAAATTTTCCAGAACTGTTTACCCCTGTAAGTTCTGTTTCTTACGTGCTCAAATGTGTAGGGTAAGAGATAATGTATGGCATTCACATCATAACTATCCACACATCAGGGAGGTAGTTTTCATCTCAGAACAAATCTACTCTGTTAATTAATCCCACTTACATAAATGTTGCAAATTACAATATTAAATAATCAGAATTAAAATACCATCTTTATTCCCCTTAAAATACTGAGAAATACACCATAAAAATAAAAATTGAAAAAAATGTGGCATTATTTAATAGAAATGCCTCATTTTAAACTGATTAAATGAACTGTTAAAACACTAGCAAGGTATTTTAAATAGAAATGGTGATTTGAGATCTCCCATAGAAATAATGTTCTATTGGCAAATGAATACATCAGATAAGTTAATTGAGTAAATAAAACATACAGATAACAACTAGAGAAAAAGATTTGTAGAAAAGGAAATCCAGAAGTCCAATTAAGCTAAAAATTAAATCACCAGGATGGAATCACAATAAAAAAAAAAAAAACTATGTGTCTTTATCTGGAAAATAATAACTGGTTTTAAAAGAGAGAGAGAGAGAAAACAGTTTGTGTGAAGACTGGAAAAATAAGGAGAAAAAGGATTTGTCTATGTATCTTCAAAATTATCCACAAAGAAAGTCTCCTGACAGGCAACCGTGGTATTCTTTTTTGCCCTGCAGTAAAATACTACATCATCACATGGAAAATTATCACAGGTTAATGACACTGTTAAGATCATCCAACCAATTGTCCTGCTCGCCAATTAATTTCCAATTTTAATTTAGCTTTTCAGACTAGATCTGTTTTCTCCCCTAGCAGAGAAAAAAAAAAAAAAAA